CCAAACACTTGATGGTAAGACCTGCATAAAACAAGGTTTCATTGTTTGTTTGCATGCTCTATACTTTTGTTTAGGCCATTTTGAAGATGTTCCATTTATTAACTTATTGGAGAAATATATTATTACATCAGTGTTCAGTTTGACCTACACCTCTACCTTGATATAACGCTGAACTCAGGAGCCAAGAAATCTTACCGTATTATAGGTGAAACCGCGTTATATCGAACTTGCTTTGATCCACCGGAGTGCGCAGCCCTGCCCCCCCCCCCCGGAGCACTGCTTTACCGCGTTATATCCAAATTCGTGTTATGTTGGGTTGCGTTATATCGGGGTAGAGGTGTATTTGCAAATCCACTGCAGTCTCTTCAGTCTTGATCTTATGTATGGCAAACTTAACTTAGCTGGAAGCTGTGTGGGACAGAGGCTGTCTTTTATCTGTGTTTGTTCAGTGTTTACGACGGGGGGACCTGGTCCATGATTCAGACTCCTAGGAACTATGATAATACACATAATAAATAATATAATATTAAAACATAATAAAGTTTTATGATCCTTACAGTGGCTCTTCTGTGAAACCTTTGGTGAGAAGCAGGATGAAAGTGTAGGTCTCTGAGAATTAATTAGATTTGCAGACATGTAAGATTTTACTATGATAATCGTTTGAATGTTTATGATGTCTTATTAACATTTATCTAATAGTTAAAAAGTAGAGGATCTGAGAGGCAGGATAGTAGCAAACAAGTGGACCGGACATTTTAAACTGAATATCTTAGTGGAAGTGAAAACTTGAAGGGGAAATTTTTTTTTTAATTAATATAAATATCACAATACATAGCTCCATTAAGATATAATCAATTTGGCTTTAATTAGTCTTGACACTTACAACTTAATATGGCTTTATCATTCTAGATATTAGGACAGATTTTTTTTAAAAAATCTGAGTTGTTGAGTGAAATACAATATCTATTGCTTCAGTTTTTAATTGGATATAAATCCATGGTATGCCCACATCCTGAATACTGCGTGCATATGTGGTCACCCCATCTCAAAAAAGATATATTGGAATTGGAAAAGATACAGAGAAGGGCAACAAAAATGATTTGGGGTATGGAACAGCTTCCATATGAGGAGAGATTAATAAGACTGGGACTTTTCAGCTTGGAAAAGAGATGACTGAAAGGATATGATATGAGATATGATAGAGGCCTATAAAATCATGACTGGTGTAGAGAAAGTAAATAAGGAAGTGTTATTTACTCATAACACAAGAACTAAGGGTCACCAAATGAAATTTATAGGCAGCAGGTTAAAAACAAGCAAAAGGAAGTATTTCTTCACACAATGCACAGTCAGTCTGTGGAACTCTTTGCCAGAAGATGTTGTGAAGGCCAAGACTATAATAGGATTCAAGAAAACTAAATAAATTCCTGAAGCATAGGTCCATCAGTGGCTATTAGCCATGATGGGCAGGGATGGTGTCACCAGCCTCTGTTTGCCAGAAGCTGGGAATGGGTGACGGGATGGATTGCTTGATGATGACCTGTTCTGTTCATTCCTTCTGGGGCACCTGGCATTTGCCACTGTCGGAAGACAGGATACCGGGCTAAATGGATGTTTGGTCTGACCCAGTATGGCTGATCTTATGTTCTTCTGATAGGCCTTGGTCTGTCTGTCTCAGAAAATTAGTTTTTTTCCAAAAATAGTCAAGTAATTTTTATAGCATAAATGTCAGAAAACAGAAGCTAAACAAAAAACTGTTGTAAGTGTTCTTGCAAATTTTAATGTAATCCTTGTAGATTGAAAGTAATTGCCATTTAATCTGTATTATGCTAAGAAGATCAAACTAGTTGCATGCAAAAATTAAGCACATCAATGTCAAATACTGGCTGTAAGGATACAGTACATGACTACTTCAGCATTTAGCATTGTTAATTAAATATAAAACTGTACTTTAAAATCTCATGTGGGAAGTTTTTGACCATACAAATTTGTCAAATAGAGTTTAATGTCATAGTCCTGCAAAAGGATTTGCCTAGGTGGATCCTTATGTCTACCAGTAGTCCTGTTGACTTAGTGGGACTCCTCAGAGGCATATGGCATGGATCAACTTTACATAACTGGGCCCTGGGCTTCTGTATCTGTTCTTCATAGCAACTTTACATCTAGATGGAATATCCAAATATTAATGAAATCTATTCTGTGTCCAGTTTGCCAGCTGACATGGGTTACCTGTTGTGAAAATCTTGATGATTTGGTCTTTTCAGGAGATGAGATGACATTGGGTGGCATTGGACTTGCTGATGGGGCAGATGTCTTTGTGTGGAATGGCAAGGAGGTAAGACAACAGGAAAATAAATCGTATTCTACAATTCCTGAGGATCTGATTTTTAATCTTCAAAAAGGTTTCTGGTCATTTTAAATCCCTTATAATACTTTCCTGAG